ACATTCAATGAATGAGTCCATCCTGCCGTGGACTTCCCTTTTTGCCCCCATTCTTCACTCTCATACAGTGATGGTGAGGCACAGGTATCCACTACTCTGCTGCTACACTTTCAGTGCTAAATGTTGAATTGAAAGACACACAAAGGAAAACAACGAGCAGATGAAGTGATTCTGATTTTTAAACGCTTCTCTTTCATTTTAAAAAGAATTTTGACTTGCTTGGACATGCTTTCAGAATTTTTTAAAAAGCGAATTCAGGTCTAATAGGGAACTTTTGCAGATTTTTGCAGAGTGTGATAGATGGACTTTGTACATGGAACACAAATGATCGCAATAATAGTTTGTAATAGCAACAACAACAACAAACACTATCTAGATATTATAGTGTACTTGGAAAAAGTGCTTAAATTGGCATTATTTTAAAAGCTCCTTATTCACTAAGCAAAAGAAAGAAAGGCTTGACATGTTGAAATCTGTGATATTAAAAAGAACTAATATTTAAAATGTGTCATCGAGTCATCTCCAACTCATAGTGACCTTATGTGCAACAGAACGAAACATTGCCCAGTCCTGTGCCAACCTCACAATCCCTACTGTATCTGAGCGCATCTCTGCAGCGGCCATGTCAATCCATCTTGTTGAGGGCCTTCCCCTCCTTTGCCGACCCTCCACTTTACCAAGCATGACGTCCTTCTCCGGGAAATGGTCCCTTCTGACAACATGACTAAAGTAGGTGAGACCAAGTCTGGCTATTCTCACTTCTGAGGATCATTCCAGCTGCACTTCTTCCAGGACAGATTTGTTAGTTCTTTTAGCAGTGCATAGTTCTTTTAGCAGTCCATGGTACTTTCAGCATTCTTCGCCAGCACCACAACTCAAAAGCATCAGCTCTTCTTCGGTCTTCCTTATTCATTGTCCGGCTCTCACATGCATATGAGGTGATTGAAAATACCAATACCAATAATAATAGCCACCACATTAAGCTCAGTGTGAGGCTGTATTCTAAGTGCTTTGCTTGCATAACTCACTTAATCGTCACAACTCCCAGTGAGGGAGATACCACAGTTATCCCATTTACAGAAGAAACTGAGATACAATGAGATTAAGTCATTCTCCCAAGGTCACAGTGTCTAAAGGGAAGAATCTGGATTTTAAACCCAGGTAGTCCAGCCCCAGCATTGATGACCACTATGCACTCCC